TTGGTTAAGCGCCCAACTCTTGGTTTTGGCTCAGGTCATGATCTCAGGGTCGTGAGATGGAGCCCCATGTCAGGCTCTGCGCTCATCGGGGAGTCTGCTTGAGATTCTCTCTCTCCCTCTGCCCCTCCACCCCTAAAATAAATAAATAAAATCTTTTTTAAAAATAAAAAAATAAAGATCTCACAATTTTATATGTTAATTATACCTCAGTAAAGCTGACATAAAACAAAAATCAGAAAAACCAAGTAAACAACAAAAAATAGAATTATATTTCTTTAGCCCTAAGCCCTTTGTTCTTTGTAAACTGCTAAGGACCTTGGAGCTTCAGGTTCTAGGCATTTTGGTGGGGAGAAGCTGGGAAAGAGGACCTGAGGATTTTGGGGGGGCTCCACAGGGTGCTTTGTGGAAGCCCCACCAAGGGGTGGGGTTGAGGTAAGAGTGTCCAGAGCAGAGAGAAAAGGGATTTGCTTTACAAATCAGGGCCTGCTAGCTCTGCATTTTGGGTTTCTTTTAAAACTGGAAGCTATCTTGTTTTTAACAATATGTCATAAAGCCTTCAAGAAGTTATTGTACAGGGGCACCTGGCTCACTTGGTAGAGCATGCGACTCTTGATCTGGGGGTTGTGAGTTCAAGCCCCATGTTGGGCATAGAGCCTACTAAAAAAACAAAAATACATAATACATACTTTAAAAAGAAGAAGTTACTGTACAATTTATGATGGAGATGCCTGCTCCTTGGAACCTGAGGGAACTGTACCCAATCTTGGGGTGTGGGTATCGTTTTGTGCGTATGTTTGAATTGCATCTTCTGAACAGAGTCCATAGCTTTCATCAGAATCATAAAGAGGTCCTGAGGAATTGGAGCCAGGAGACCTAGCAATGTAGCCTGAGCCTCTGAAGCCATTGAGGGTCAGTGGCGCTCTCACCAGCCCGCTGGGGCACGGGCGCTGGGACAGGTCCGCTGGCTCTCGCACCTGCCTGCCCACCCCAGACCTTGGAGGGCCCTCTGCCATCACGTGAGCACCATCCTTCAAAGGTCTTTGTGTCTCCTTTGGGTTTAAAACAGAAAAGCTCAGGGGCGCCTGGGGTGGCTCGGTCATTCAAGAGTCTGACTTCGGCGGGGGTCGTGATCTTGGGGTCCTGGGATCCAGCCCCGCGTCGGGCTCCCCGCTCGGTGCAAAGTCTGCTTGTCCCTCTCCCTCTGCCCCTTCCCCCTGCACGTGCTCTCTCTCTCGCTCTCTCTCAAATAAATAAATACAGTCTTCAGAAGAAAAAAGAAAAGTGAACATTTTTTCTGACCATAAAAGGAGAAACTTAGAAAACACAGAAAAACATAGTGAAGAAAATACAAATCAGTCATAATCCTACTAAAGAATTAACCACTGTAAACATTTTGAGGTGTTCCCTTCCAGATTTTCTCTTCTTCTTTTGTATTTTTAAGAGAGAGTTGAGATCATAGTATGTCTATGAATGGAGCCCTTTTTCACTTAACATGACATCATAATCATCTCGCCTGCCATTAAAAAGTCTTCATTAGCATCATGTTCCTTGGCTTCACAATTATTCCATTATATGGCAACACTACAGCTTCCATACCCATTCTTCTATCATTGGGCATTTGCATTGTTCCTAGCTTTTTGCTTTAATGAATAATTCAGTGAGAAGCCTCTTCGGGCAACACGCCGTGCTTACATCTTAGATTGTTTCTTCCTGGTAGATTCCTAGAAGTGTCCTTTGTGCTCTGTAGGTATCGCGAGTTAAGATGTTGCCGAGACCCATCTGGGAAGTGTGGATATTGCTAAGGAGCGCGGGCCGTGAGGTGGGGCCGAGCACCAACATCCACTGGGTGCTGTGGGCACAGCGGAGGCTTAAGAAATGAGAGCGAGTCTTGGTCTTTGAGGACTTTATCGTGTAGTGCAGAACCACAACACGCATAAAGAGCCTAATGGAAGAGATACTTGATCTCAGAACGCTGGGGGAGCCAGGCATGAGTTTCAGAACGGGAGAGGGGTTTTTGTGTGTATTCATATTGCATTTTCTGGAGAAGGAGCTTTCAACAGAGTCTTTTCATCTATACAGCTGCAAGGAATTCCCTATTTAGTGATGGTTTTGGGTGTGTGGATGGGAAGTCAATTAATTTTCCCTATTTTTTCTTTTGCTATTTTATAGTTTTTTTTATGATAGAAAAATAAGGCATGTGGGTGCCTCAGTCGGGTAAGCCTTGGATTTCGGCTCAGGTCCTGATCTCAGGGTCCCGGGATGGAGCCCCACCTCGGGCTCTGCGCTCACCGGGGAATGTGCTTGTCCCTCTGCCCTTCCCCCAACTTGTGCTCTCTCTCTCTCTCTCTCTCTCTCTCTTTCTCTCTCTCGCGCGCGCGCGCGCACGCACACACTCAAATAAATAAATAAAATCTTTAAAAAAATAGGGAGTGTAATAGAAAAATAAGAAACTTCTCATGTGCCATTAAGATGACAGAAAGAGTATACTAAGATGATAGGCAGGGTCCTGGTTTGGGGGGGACCTTGAGGTAGGCTATAGGAGAGGCTACATCCCCTACCCAGCAGGTGTGAGGCAGATTTTGGCAGCATTAGTCACCTGTCCCTGCAGTGACCTACCAATCCGTTTACATATAAATCTGCTCCTGCCTGCGCGAGCGGGTGTTACATGAGCCTAATGCCAACAGGATCGCATTATCAGAACATTATGTTTTGCAAGCGCATGGCACATTTGATAATACAAACCAATGTTTCCTTGTCCCTCTCCCAGAGCCTTAGTCCTCAACTGGTTGCTAAGAGTTAAAGGAGCTTCTTACTGATCATTCATGGTCATCAGAAAAGCCAGTCAGCTCTGCCAACGTGGAAAAGGCAAGGAGATGTGGTCATCGTGTGGCTTCCAGGCCTTTCATTCAGGGCCAGAATTAAATGCGTGTGTGGAAATTGACAGCCATCGATCGTATTTATTTTCCAAAATCTGTTCTGACCACATCTATTGTTTGGCTAGTTCTTCCACTGGGAAGATGAGAGTCACGGGCTAGACCGTGGCCTTGTCCAGGCATTTCCACTGGACAGACACCCACAGTTGCAGGACCCCCACAGAACCCTATCTCAGCTCAGCTTGTTGTGAGATTTCATGGGTGCTGTCAAGTTGAATGCCCACAGTCAGGACAACTGGGATGGGAGTGCGTGTCTCGTTGCTCCCTTTCCCTGGGGTATCCCCCCATCTGTGGCTGGAGTGGACAGGTCCCCAGTAGAGGGTCAATGTGCAGAGCATGACTAGACAAGAGAGACCAGCCATAGGCAGACACGTGCCCTGACTCAGAAGCTCCCCAAGTCTTTCCACCTAGCAACCTTTAATCTGGTGTACTAACAAAATCTGTGTAATTCTATTATTATTAATTATTATTATTGTTATCATTATCATTATTATTAAGTTCCAGTTGGCTGTCTCTACAGGTTCAGCTGAGTTGTTTTTCTTCCCTCACTCTTGGCTTCTACAGAATAAATCCCTCTCTCATTCCCTGTCACTCTTATTTCCTTTGATCCTTTGTTTTCTCCAGACCCAGAATCACTTAGTCTCCCAAAGGGCTTGAATCTACCTGTAATTTATGCACCCAGTATAGTCATCACATAAGCCTAATTGTTAGTTGGCCTCAGCTGCATTGGCCAAAAGCGCCAAACCCCACCATGAGCCAGATGGAGGTCTGGGAGGAGCCAGCCACTGCCCACCCCTAAGACACAGGGAATACCCACTCTTTCTGTCAAGAGCGGGAAAACAGTAAGCAAACATATCTCTGACCACTGCCGGCCCTAATCCGTAATGCAAAATAAACAAGCAGGATAACACTCCAAATATGATCCTTTGTTTGCGGTTGTAGGGGAGAGAGCTAAAAGCTTAGACCTCCAGAGGATATCATTAAGAAATTCTTCCTCGTATTTAATCAGACTTGCCTTGGCTATAGCTTAAGCTTACATATTCTGGTTCTATCCAGACAGAGGCACTCCTCTCTTCCCTACATATGATATTTCTTTTTTTTTTTTTTTAAAGATTTTATTTATTTATTCATGAGAGACAGAGAGAAACAGAGGGAGAAGCAGGCTCCCAAGGAGCGGGAAGCCTGATGCGGGACTCGATCCCAGGACCCCGGGATCATGACCCGAGCGGAAGGCAGATGCTTAACCATCTGAGCCACCCAGGTTCCCCTACATATGATATTTCTAATAATACATCTTTAATACATTATGTTTTACATACAAAACATCTCATATGGAAGATAATTTTTTTTTGTAAAGATTTTATTTATTTATTTGAGACAGAGAGAATGAGAGAGAGAGCGAGCACATGAGAGGGGGGAGGGTCAGAGGGAGAAGCAGACCCCCCCGCCGAGCAGGGAGCCCGATGCGGGACTCGATCCAGGGACTCCAGGATCGTGACCTGAGCCGAAGGCAGTCGCTCAACCAACTGAGCCACGCAGGCGCCCTATGGACGATAATTTTAATAAAACATTTTATATGTAAAAAGATGATACTGTATACTTCAATAGGACTTATATTTTATATTTAAATGTTAAATTTATCAGTATTTTACAAGTAAAATATACTTGTGTATAAAGTGTTATAGACTTAGAGACACGAAACATGAAATGAAGCGTTTTATATTACATACTGGCAAATATTTAAAAACCTCTCCAAACTATAGGCTATTTAAATATTTTAAAAGGAGTCAATATTTGAATCCGTGGTTTAATACTTGACCCATTGCACTTAAATATTCAAATAATTACAAATGGGTTATAGTACAAATATAATAGGGATTAGGTAACCTTTGCATAAGTAACCGGGGCCACCAAACACCTTCGGTTGTCGGGGGGACTCTCAGATCGGGTCTGGTCCGCCCCGAGAATTAGCGTGTGCGGGCCACAGCGCCCCCTACCGCTGCGCACGCCCGCGCCCTCACGGCTGTCTTTCCTCCTCCTCCCCTCCCCCCCCCCCCCCGCCCGCAGGCATCGGCAAGAACGTCATCTGCGACCGCACGGCCACCCCGCTGGACGCCTTCCGCATGATGTCGGCCGCCCACTACTACCCCAAGCTCATGAGCATCATGGGCAACGTGCTGCGCTTCCTGCCGGCCTTCGTGCGCATGAAGCAGCTCATCGAGGAGGGCTACGTGGGCGAGCTGCTGGTGTGCGAGGTGCAGGTGCACGGCGGCAGCCTGCTGGGCAAGAAGTACAACTGGAGCTGCGACGACCTGATGGGCGGCGGCGGCCTGCACTCGGTGGGCACCTACATCATCGACCTGCTCACCTTCCTCAGCGGCCAGAAGGCCGTCAAGGTGCACGGGCTGCTCAAGACCTTTGTGAAGCAGACCGACCACATCAAGGGCATCCGCCAGATCACCAGCGACGACTTCTGCACCTTCCAGATGGTGCTGGAGGGCGGGGTGTGCTGCACCGTCACCCTCAACTTCAACGTGCCCGGCGACTTCAAGCAGGACGTGACCGTGGTGGGCTCGGCCGGGCGCCTGCTGGCGGTGGGCACGGACCTGTACGGGCAGCGCAACGGGGCCCCGCAGCAGGAGCTGCTGCTGCAGGACGCCACGCCCGTCAGCAACTCCCTGCTGCCCGAGAAGGCCTTCAGCGACATCCCGTCGCCCTACCTGCGCGGCACCATCAAGATGATGCAGGCCGTGCGCCAGGCCTTCCAGGACCAGGACGACCGGCGCACGTGGGACGGGCGGCCGCTCACCATGGCCGCCACCTTCGATGACTGCCTGTACGCGCTGTGCGTGGTGGACACCATCAAGAGGTCCAGCCAGACGGGCGAGTGGCAGAACATTGCCATCATGACCGAGGAGCCCGAGCTGAGCCCCGCCTACCTGATCAGCGAGGCCATGCGACGCAGCAGGATGTCCCTGCACTGTTAGCGCAGGCCTGGGGACCTGCGGGGACGCAGGTGCTCGGCGTGGAGCCCGGAGAGGCGGAGAAGGCGGGGGAGGGGGGGCGGGCAGAGGCGGCCTGGAGGCGTGCAGGGCGGGAAGGTGGAGAGGGGGCAGTGAGAGAAAGTGGCATCTGAGGACATGAACCCCAGCCCGGCTGAGGGGCACCGAGGAAGACTGTGGGCAGGCCGAGCTAGTAAAGGCCTGGGAGTACTGGGGGGCGGGGGGGGCAGGGGGCGCCTGCCATTCCTGACATCATGCCTGCCGGCCATTTGCATGAAGGAGAGAGGCTTAGCAGCTTCGGTTGCCCCTTACCACGAGAAGCAGAGAGGGCGCGCTTTCCTCCTCACCTCATCCACCCCCTTCACCTTGGCCTCCTTGGCAAGCCACGTGCTCCTGCCGTCGTGGGCAAGCTCAGTGGGTGCCGGCTCCCCAACCCCGGCCCGCCCCGCCCCCGCTGCACCCGCTCCTAGCAGGAGAAGGCACATCTGTCCGCAGAAGCCTGTTAGTCTGAGAAGTAGGGGTGCAGTGGGCTCACGAGAACGTTCAGATTCCGGGAAGCCACTTAAAATGTCTGGAGGAAAGAGCACTTGGTAGCAAAGTGCACAGCGATCTTGATGGATTGGTGTTCCTCACAGGAAGCAGGAAGGAGTGTCTTCCCAATTGGTTCATTGCCCCTCGCCCGGCCTGAGATGGAGTAAGGGAGGGCCAGGAACAGCAAGTAAGGCAGAAGGAGAGCACCAGAGCACACGGGGCCTGGAGACAGACGAGGCAGAGAATCCACTAGCCCTTTGGGTTTGTCAGCCATTAAAAAATTGCAAGGAGCCACCTTATACTACTACTTCGGGTGGGGTGGAACTGAGTGTAGGGGATTTTGCTACTGAAGTGTCCTTTTACGTGGCTCTCCCTCCGGCAGGGTCAAAGGCACAGCAGGAGTGGGTGTGACCACAGGCTCACTTGCTGGGGCCCCCCAGTGTTGCAGGGGGAGGGGCGGGGCCCTGGATGGGCTTTGGGCTCCGACCCCATGTCTCCTACCAAGCTGGTAAAGGACTTTTAAGAGATTCACCCAGCTTAGTGGTTGTAAAAGGGAAGCCTTCAGTTCCACGCAGATAAGAATCTTCCCTTAAAAAAAAAAAAAAAAAGGTCAAGGCTCTTTTCCTTAGCTTTGACCTTTGCTTTTAAGATGCTGACACCTGCCAGTTTTTGAATAGGTATTAAACAAAAGGACAACCAGGAACATAATGGTCAGTGTTTCTAATATGGGGTTTTAGAGCCCTCAGTGGTTTATCTTCATGTAGGGTTGAGAAGGTTAATGTTGGAGAAAAATGTATTCTTCCTTTCCTTGGTCTCTTGTCTCTCTTGTCTTGTCACCCTCTGCTTCCAGAGCTTTTACTGGAGATGGTAGACTGCAGTCTTGGAGCAGGTAGTTTCCAAGGGAACAGTGGAAGACACACACACACACACACACACACACACGCATGCACAAATAAGGGTTGGTCAGTGTTCACCACCACCTAATGTCACTGAAACAGTTCTTAAAAATTCAGACCTTTCTCGAAAGAAACACCAAGTCAAACATTTTGAAAACGGGGGATTAACCTTTTCTTAATCCTTCATCCCCATTTCGACATTTGTCAGGCTTGGATGCAGAGACCATTGCTTGTAAATCTACATGGCTTTTCTTTACAGGTCACAGAAATCCAAAAGTTGTCTCTGGCACGCAACTGAGGTGTAGACATCTCTTCAGGTGACTGGTGGTAGAATCAACAGGCCGTGAGTCTGCCCCCCCTCCCCTGCCCCGCCAGGATCCCAGGCTCTGAGGAGGCAGAATCTGAAATGAACAGAATAGTCCGTTTTATCCTCCATCCTCCTTCTAGGGTTGATACCCTGTGTCACCCCAAGCTGCCCGTGGGTGCAGGGTGGGCATGTCCAAACCCCACGGGAATGTTGGTCATTTTCTAGCACAGAGGAAGAAGGATTGCCTTCCCGGAAAGAGTCACCCTACTTCCTGGGGCCCCGTTGCAACCTGGCTAGGTTAGTCAGCTGACACTCTCCGGGGTACATGATGGTCCCTGACATCATGACTTCATAATGAGCATGCCGGCTTTTGTAGCTGTCAATTCAAAACTAGACATTTAGTAGAAGGAACGAGTCCCAGTAATAGTTTGAGCAGAGGGCTGTGCGGTGGACTGTTTGGGGTCAGGTTCTCCTAAATCGCCCTCTGGATAAATAACTTTTGTAGACACTGAGTGGAAAGATTTTTTTTTTTTCCCTATCTAGCCCAAAAGGTTGTGATTAAGGATGAAGGGAGAGGAAACTAGATGATGCTATGGGTCTCATTTTCCTAAGTCGTTTATAATCTAAGTAGGGCTATTCCAGGGGTTTCAGTTTTATGTTTCTGTACTTAACCAAAAGACTTGGGAAGTTTTTGTGTTTTTTTTTTTCTTCCAAAGGCCTCTGAGTTCTGTGATAAATATTCAGTGTCTAAAACAAAAAATTCTCATTTGGGGCTAGGGTATATAGAAAGAAAAGATATATTCTTGAAAAGAAGCATGAAAAATATTTTAGTAAGGACTCAAACTTTATCTACTGAAATGCATGTAGTAGGTAGATGCAGGAAGGAGAGGAAGAAAAGACCTAAGTAGTTCATTTGTAAATACAAAAATTATAGGAAATGAGTTTAAGATACTTCTTTAGTGCTCCTTTTCGCCCCTGGACTACCACTTGCAAAGCCTTGATTGAGAGCCGTAATGGGGAGCTGAGATGTCAGGCTTTTGACAAAGCCTCCTTGGGGCAAACCCCAGCACCTCTTAGGGTGCTCAGGGGGCTGGGTACCATTGGGCGACTGTGACCCAGGACGAGGCCCTAGCAGCAATCCAGCCTCTTTCCGCTCTGGTTACGGTGTTTCAAAGACCCCGTGTAAGGGAGGCACCATTTTAGGGTCTTCACATTTAGTCTCTGTTGCTTGATTTGTGCCCATCGTTGTGTGGATGCCTCTGGTCCTGGAAATTTGGGCTCATGCTCCTGGCTGCTCATGCTACTGGTTGAGAGAGGTTGGAGGTCAGTGGTTCTTACCTGGTATTCGCACGTGTTTGGAATGCTCTGGGCTTACTTGGAAAGTTTGGATTCTCTTGAGTTTTCTTGAGTCCATGACCACTGTCTGCTCTTGCATGATTTCTCCTCTCAATGGGAGACATGGTGCAGGGTACCACATATGCTCCCTACCTCCCTGGTGGCAAGTATCTGTGGGTCAGGTGTATCTGGGCTCTCTAGGGGCAGTCTTGGCTGACTTCACTCTAAGACAAACTTCTCCCGGACCCCTTCCCCATTGACAGAGAGCCACCCAAGTACTCTCTGTGTGCCAACATTTCTTGATCATCCACTGTGTGCAGGGTATTTTAGGTAAATTATGTCACTGAATCCCCCCAATGACCCTGTGGTATTAGGTATTGTTCTTCCCATGACACACATGAGAAAATCAAGGCCTTTACAGGAAGAGTAGCTTGCCCAAAGTCACACAACTATTAAGCAGAAGTGGAGTCCCCTGAATCCAAAACTTTTCTTCTCCAAACCACGTGGCCTCCCGAGAAGAAAGATCTGTACCCCTGCTGTTCTTGCCAGGAAGGAGGGCACTCCTTGTTGAGCACTGAGGGGGCCCTCTCGCATCCCGTGGAGCCTCCCGTGTCTCATGCTCAATGTGACCTGCATGGGCCTCTCCCCAACTGCTGTCTGCACCCTCCTGTTGAGCAGGATCCCACATTTGATGGTGTGCCAGAAGGTTCCTTATAGAACTGCAAATAGAAGCAGTTGATTTTTCTTCCCCTTCCAAAATGGAAATGGCACTCCGCTTCTTTTAAAACCGACTTCCTAAGTTGATTCTGATCGGAGGTGATGCGGCAAACCACAGAGTTGGGACTTTTCAAGACGCTATTGGCCCACTGTTATAGGTGGCCTTGGATTTTGCTCTGGGTGGTCCAATAATAGGAAAATGTCTTCTCAGGGAGTGGGGCTTTTAGAGTTCATTTGTTTGTGACTCCGATTTACCTGTGCATTTTATTCATACCTCTACACTCTCAACTCTCCTCATCTCCTCTCCTAGCCCAACTGTTGAATTTGAGCTGGGTCATAAAGTAGGTGTCGGGTGGCATTGTTTTTCTTCTGGTGGATATGGGGGTTAGATTTCAGCATGCTGGGGAGACATCCTGGGGAGAAAGCAGCTCTGGTGGCATCCGAAGGGACTCCAGAGCCCAGTGTCTTCACATCCTTTATTTTATATCCCAGAGAGGTTAAGTGATGGCAGAGGTCACACTGCTTCTCAGGGGTAGAACCGGGACTAGAAGCCCCACGTTTCAAGTCCCACTTTGCCACACACGGCACCTTCAGAGCCCTCAGTTGGGGACAGGGAGGCGGAGAGGTGCAGTGACCTGTCTGAGGTCCCATGGCTAGTTGGTGGAGGAGCCGAGATTAGGACTCAGACCTGCAACCGACTGTATTCCCTGAGCTACTGCGGCTGAATCCATTTTTTAGCAACTCAATTATGTCTCCAATGTACTCAGAAACTAGCTGGTTGGTTTTTTTTTTTTTAAAGATTTCTTATTTATTTATTTGACACAGAGAGAGACAGCGAGAGAGAGAACACAAGCAGGAGGAGTAGGAGAGGGAGAAGCAGGCTTCCCGCGAAGCAGGGAGGCTGATGCGGAGCTCGATCCCAGGACCCTGGGATCATGACCTGAGCCGAAGGCAGACGCTTAACGACTGAGCCACCCAGGCGCCCCAGAAACTAGCTGTTTTAAATTTCCCAATGTGATTGTCATGTGAACAGTTATCTGTGGTTTGTATTGTATTTGGCAAGGATGGGGGACACAAGTTTCGATGTCCATTTTTGGGATTTCCTGAGGCTAGCTCTGCTAAGATCACCAACCCCCCCCCTCGCCCCCCGCCCATGCCCATTCCTATTCCTCTCCGAGACACAGATCCAGGCCTTGGCTGCCTTATGATGCCTGCTCCACCTGCTGCCTCCTTTCTTGGGCCATCAAAGCCCCGAAGTTTCCAGGGCAGAGGCCATGACATTGGGGAGCTCATTAAAAAGAAACTATCAGAGCCCCGCATTTCAGGTTTCTTTTGGGGACAGGGAGGAGGGCAATGGCAGGAGAACTGGTTGTGTCTGCAGCGTGGAGTGAGTCCTGACCAGCGGCCGGCACGCCCCACCTGCCCTGCCCCATCCTAGGCGGAGAAGCGGGCTGATGGCAGGCCTCTGAGTCCCAGGGGACAACCCTGACTGAGTCAGGCTCCCAGGACCTCCCACAAGAGGAGTGAGGGCCTCCCATGCTGCTGTCAGAGTTGATGGGTTCGTTGGCCCCTCAGAGTCTGGAGGTGAGGCTGCTCTCGTATCTGAGTGACCACATCCATTAGCTGTGGAAGCCGGTGGCCGACTGGCCTTTCTCTTCCCCATGTCCCAGGCCCTATTGGCTGGAGCCCTTGCGAGGGCCGCCGAAGCGTCTAGCTCTCAGTCAGGCTACTGAAGTGTTACACTACTGAATACTCTCGAATCTGTTGTGCTCTTTTTTGTTTAAACCAGCAGTGAGTAGAGTAATAACAAGACCGTGTCGTCGCAATAGCTCTACGCTTAGTGCAGCATCACAAGCTCGCCTGGGCCAGTGTGGGCAGGTCCTGCAGAAGAACCCTAGCATCATGCTGCTTCTCTCATTCCCCGTCCCCATCTCTGCTGTCCCCTGCAGCCGTCACAAGGGCTGAGTGGCTGAATGAGCCCCATGACTTCTCCTTACGAACATCATGACTTCCTTGTGATTCTACTCCAGTCCCAGGTTAAGCAACAAAACAAAAGCAAGTGACCTGACCAGCTACTTTCCTCCCCTCCTTCTCCTTCAGGCATCCAGACATATCTAAACATACTTAGCATTGTGCCCCGTGCCTTGCCCAGGGGAGGGAGAAGTTTCTAGTGATTATGGCTTTCTGTTGGCTGCCTGGTGCTTTTATCGTTCCTCTTCTTCTTCTTCTTCTTCTTCTTCTTTTTTTTTTTTTAACCAAAATTACATTTGTTTGATTGTCATTGTCAAGTATGTATTTATTGTGTTTTACGAACATGAGTATATATCTGTACGTATATGTATAAAACCAAACTTATATATAAAAAGTCAAGGCATGTATACTAGATATTTTAAAGAGTTATTTATCAAGGGAAAAAGATGTGTGTTATAAAGTAAACAGAGTCTATATTTTATATATAATGTAGATAGCAAAAAAATAGCTTATAAATTATAGAAGGTTTTGGTTTTCTTTTTTTTTTTATTATTATTAAAGCAAAAAAAAAAGAAAAGAAAAAAAGGACAATGAATGCAACTGTTTTTAGTGTTTTTAAGGCCAAACCTACTGTGGGAGGTGACCTTCCCTGCTGGGCTCCTGGGCCATGCAGTCTGAGCTCCAGACCCGCTGTTACCTCTGCAATGCTCAGGGGACCGTGTTTAGCATTGCTCAGCCAGCTGGCCTGCGCCCCCTTACACGTGGCCTTTTGCTGCCCTCTCCAATTTGCCTTGGTGGGATAAAGAAATGAAAGTAGCAAATAAAGATTGAAGAGAAGATACAATTGCAGCTCTTTGCCTGTTTATTGGACCCAAGTTCTGTAGCTCATGAGTTCGGTACCTGGCCAATCTGTGGGATCCGAAGCAAGAATGTGGATGGGAATGATGACATCTGGGGTGTGTGTGGGGAGGGGGGAGGCTGTTCATGTGTCAGCATCCATGAAGCTGAACAGTGGGATCGACGGTCCTGAAGATTCACCAAATGTTAGATGAGCTGGAGCTCTTTAGAACAATCCGGTTCAAAACCTCATTTTGGAAATGTGGAAATGGAGGGGAGAGGCCACATGACTGGAGAGGGGTTGTGTGTGAAAGCTTAGTCCAGACAACAAGATGACAGTATAGACTTTAGAATGGGGGAGCAAATTTTAGAATTCTCTTTTATTTTAATACCTTAACCTAATATCTCACATCGAGCTCTCAAATATACTCTAACAAGCTCACCTAAGTGTTGACAAGAGCATCTTTGCTGATTTCCTTGTCAGCAGCCTCTAAAGGGCCACTGTCTTGGACCGAGCTCAGCCAAATTTCAAATTTGCGTGATGTGAGATTCCTCATGGATGGGCTGGCCTTTCCATCCTCTGCTGTCTTTCCACCTCTCTGCACATAGGTAGTTCTTCTGGTCCGTACTTTCCCATCTCAAAAACGGTTAAGAATTAGACATAATGGTACAGAGCTACATTCTCGTAATTCACTCCTTCGTGAGCTCGTCCTGACATTAATGAATTCAGAGTGCAGTCTGTCTATTCAGACAATAAAGCAAGGCCCTGCATCTACATGGATTATTACAGTGCACATGTAACACTCACATCTTATGACACTGTAGTCCATCTAGGAGCTGTTCCGAAGAAGGCAATAAGGGTGAGTGCTTTGTCAAAGCTGAAGGTGCCATCTGCCCCAATATAAGGTATGGTTGTGACGGGGTCCAGTCCTCTGAGTGCCAGAGTGCCCCGACAACCGGCCCTGATGGGAGACTGCACTAGTCTTAGCACTTACGTACATTTGCAACTCGAGCCATTTGTGCCTTCCCAGATTTGGAATCTTGCTGTGCTGTTGGTTTCTTTCCATTCAAGCCCATTTCTTGTTTTGTCAACCAGGGATCATACTGCCTCCTACGAAATCACAGGATATGATTAGCAGCACTTTCAGAGTCTCTTTATTGTTGCTTTAAAAGAACAGATGCAATCGTATTGCAAGTCCTTCCGGTTGCTCGCTGGTCAAAGGAAGAGAAACCTGTGTGTCCACCTGTGCCCATCCACCTCTCCCACGCCCGCCACCACACACTGATGCATACAGCTGTTTTCCCGTTTCTTTTCTCTCTTGCTTCTTTTATCTTGTGCATTTTTAGCACATGTTGTGACAAGCCTGGGTGGTTCAGTCTGAAAAAATGACTGCAACAATTGTTACGAGAATGAATCACACCTATATACAAAGAATGCAGAATTCTGTATAGAAATGGGAAAAAAATCATTTCGCCTCACTCTACGTAGTAGGCTCCGCTGTGTTAACCCACATCTACCCTAACCTTGCCAAAGCAGAAAATATCCCTCTGCCTAGATATTCCTAGGCAGGTGCACTTGGCAGCATTTCTCCCCTCCCCCCCCCCCCCCGGAAGGCCACCCTAGACAATGATGAAAAAGACGTCACTTCAGAGAGTTTGGGCCAAGTCACATTCAGATAGAGTTACAGTCTACTTAGGCCAAAACTTGTACAAAAAAGTGGATACAATATATTCAAAACCCTTTGCCTTGTTCATTCAAGTTCAGGCTTCCTCTGATTCTGATTTCGGCATCTCCAGCTGCTGGCGAAATTGCTGAGAGAGGACTTGAACAGCTCTGTAGTGTAGCTGGGGGCCAACTACAGCTCTACGAGACAGGCTCCCCATATCTAAGTTGGTTGTTGGACTTCCTCTAAAATGTCATCCTAATTATGGGAACACCTTCCTCTCCTGCTTATACACAGGTTCTGATCATCTTGTATCAAGACAAACCCTCTCTCTTTAGCCATGCGTAAAAATGAAAGACTAAATAATTTTTAGGACCCCTTCTTGGGCAGTTCTAGATTAATTCATTTCTTGGTCAACGATTGGTACACTGATGGGGCTCAGGCCCATAATTGCCATCTGGATCATAGATGTATGCATGCCCCATGGTCTCTGACTCTTTCATCCTTGGCCATCAGGAAGGAGGGACCCTAAAAGGGCCTTGTGTGGCTGATGTGAAGACCATGTCCACAGCCCACAGGGTGCTAGGCAGTCCTCAGTCTTGAACTCCAAGGCACTAACGCCCTTTTAGCACCGAGGGGCCTAAATTGGAAGTCAGACCAGGGCTGTCTGAGGCTGCCTTCAGAATGAGCAATCACTCTAGACTCCTCAAACTCCAGGACCAGGAACGCATGACAGCCAGTGAAACAACAAGGGTTGGGCGGGGGGAATAAGACCATGGCTCCGCCTGTCCCTCTAAGCCTTCTGAGGCTGCTTGTCTGGGACTTGGGAGCTAACAGCCGAGCCTGGAGCAGTCAATCAGGCATTCCTCAATATGCCTGGCTGAGTCTGGACTGGACATTCAGGTTGCTGCCAGGAAATGGAAGAGAGTGCTGGTCTGGAGAGAACAGCTGTGTATCAATCTGGCTGGGAAGGCCACTCTGTGGATCACTGAGGAAGCAAATGGGAGGGAAGAAGTGGGGAGAGAAAAGAAGAGAAGCTGGGAGTAATGGGGGGCAGCTGGGAGAATGGAGGTCAGGAGCAGAGTAGGTAGTTCATGCCCAGGGTGGAAGCAGACGGTGGGGAAAACAGATGAAAGACCAGAGCTATGCACCTAAGACATGGAAGGTTCAGGAGACAAGGAACTGTTCGGTGAGGTATCTGAAATTCGGTTCCTCTGCGGCTGGCAGGCCTGATCTGTGCTCTGAGAACAGCTTGGCTGAGGAGGAGGAGGAGGATAGCAGACAAGAAGGAATGAAGGAGGAGTTCTTACAGGAACCTTAAAAAGTCTGGCTGATTCGCTTCTAGAGCTGTTCGGAGCTATCCAACTGTTGGCATTCGCTGGGGAATCTTCAGTACCAACCACTGTGTTAAATGAGCACCAGACCCCAAGTGTATCTTGGATCCCACCCTCCTTTCTTGTTGCTCTTCCTATTTGCAACTCCCCCAAACCTGAAGTCTTTGAGGATTCAAACATCTGCCATTTTACCCTGTTTCCCATTTCCCTCCTGGGCCCCTGGGACACACTCTCTACTTAGGAATCTGCCGTTTAGCCTTTCTCTCTTTTTTTTTTTTTGCAAATACAGGTCTCTCACTCCTCCTCAGCTTCCAAAGACCATGCCCACCAGGCCATCACCATGATCTGAGGTAGCCCCCGCAATCTCTATTATCTCCCTGAAGTTACCCGAGTGTCCCCACAAACCTTACATATGCCGTACACACTGCTGTGTCTGGCTCTTTCTCTTAAAATGTATTTTTAACATCTTTCCACCTCAGCATAGGAGATTGACCTCATTCTTTGTAATGGCTTTATGAAAAGAAATCTACATTAAAATTCTAATTAAAAAATTTTAAAACAGGAGACAGATGGTGGTGATGGTTTGTTCAATAGCGTGAACACACCGAGTGCCACTGAACTATATACTTAAGCGTGGTTACATTGGTATATTTTATGTTTTGGATATTTTACCAAAATTAAAAAGAAAAATTTTTTTTAAAGATTTTTATTTATTTATTTAGAGAGAGAGAATGAGAGAGAACACATGAGAGGGGATAGGGTCAGAGGACAAAGCAGACTCCCGGTCGAGCAGGGAGCCCGATGTGGGACTCGATCCAGGGACTCCAGGATCATGACCTGAGCCGAATGCAGTCGCTTAACCAACTGAGCCACCCAGGCGCCCAAGAAAATTTTTTTTTAAGTTCCCCAGGTAACAGAGCTGCAACACCAGCTCCCCCTTCCCCCTCCCCCTCTCTTCCCCGATCAGGTCTGCCAGCCTGACATTTTGGGGACACCTACTCTCATTTGCCCCTTGCCACCGTTCAGGCCCTTTCATTCTGGAGAACCTAAAAGCAAAATGACGATCTGTATTTCTTTCTGGAAAAAGATGATATCCCTTCTGGGGGTGGCTGTTAGCATAGCACGCACGTTAAGTGGCACGAAAGCGTCTCTCCTAAGCCTGTCAGAAGTCAGCCCAGAGCTGGTCTTACCAGTGCAGTCCTCGTCCTCGCACTCCAGAGGATAGAATCCTTTTCAGCTCTGGAATGCCTTTCATCCTCAGTGTTGAAAGCTTTGCAGAAATTAGGCCAGGGCTTGTGAAACAATTCAAGTTCCATCACAAAACAACCCCAAAAGTCTGTGCTGAAGCCTCCTTGTGCTTTCTTTTCCTTTCTTTCTTTCTTTCTTTCTTTCTTTCTTTCTTTCTTTCTTTCTTTCTTTCTTTCTTTCTTTCTTTCTTTCTTTCTTTTTTCTTTCTCTTTCTTTCTTCTTTCTTTCTTTCTTTCTTCTTTCTTTCTTTCTTTCTTTCTTTCTTTCTTTCTTTCTTTCTTTCTTTCTTTCGACAGAGAGAGAGACACAGCGAGAGAGGGAACACAAGCAGGGGGAGTGGGAGAGGGAGAAGCAGGCTTCCCGCCGAGCAGGGAGCCTGATGTGGGGCTCGATCCCAGGACCCTGGGATCCTGACCTGAAGGCAGACGCTTAATGACTGAGCCACCCAGGCGCCCCTCCTTGTGCTTTCTTTAACCAGGCGTGTTGGTGTCCTTGACCCAGCTAAAGGGCTTGCACAAGTGACAGTCTCAGGTAAGTTAAATCCCCTGAAATTCCACACCAGGGGGTGTACCTATATGGTTTAACGCACCTCCATGGATCCACGGACTCTGGAGCAGGTCAGAGCATCGGGACCAAAAGCTGGTCCAGAGTCAGCATCGTGAGACCTTCAACCCCAGCCTGACAGATTGCCCCGGAGCCTCAGTTCGTCTACGCCACATAGAGAAGTCAAGGACAAGTATTGCCTTGGCCACAGACTGACTCAGGGCACCGACTCAAACACTTGCCAAAGGGGCCTTAGTGACCTGGCAGTGACTGTGGTACCCGAATTCTTGTCTCTCCCTGCTAAGGAATCACTTAAGATCTCAGGTTTATTTATTAATATTTTTTAAAGATTTCATTTATTTATTTGACAGAGAGAGTGCGAGCGCACAAGGAGGAGGAGTTGCAGAGGCAGAGGGAGAAGCAGACTTCCCACTGAGCAAGGAGCCCAATGCAGGACTCGATCCCAGGACCCCGGGCTGGAGGTAGACACTTAACCAACTGAGCCACCCAGGCGCCCCAAAATCTCAGGCTTAAAAGTCTCACTATCTCCCATATTTGAGTAGATTGGCTCCGCGGGTTTGTCCAAATCCCATCAGTAAGGTCCCGCACAAGGAGGTGATTCTGTTGGCGATTAGAATTTCCCCAACGTTTTGTCACTCCCTAGAGTGTTAAGTTATGCCCTGCCACGGCATACATCAACATTTCATGGAAGGGATGTTTGGTTTGGTGAGGCATGGCCCTGAACTTACAAATTCACTGGAGATTCTTTTTGGTTTTCTCCTTACATGGTAATTAATAGCCACTTCCCTGGAATGGCTCATCACGTGATGTGGAAAATAAAGGCAAAAGAAAAATTAAATGTTCTTACTACTTACAGCCCATTGACAAGTCCTTGGAACAGGCAGAGTGACCTTCCTCTAGGGACTCAGCTGCCTCGATGTTAATACTTTGCTTAAGGGCAAAAGGCAATCTTAGCCCGACCCCCAGGATCCTGTAAGTCTACTATAACATATTAAAGTTCCTTTGGAAACTTCCTTTCTCTCTACCCCCTCCCCCAAGATATATGTTGGCAATCATCCCCCAAGCAGATGACCCACCAATATGCATCAGAAGGATCTCATGACTAAGGTTTTTTTTTTTTTTTTAAGATTTTATTTATTTATTTGAGACAGAGAGAATGAGAGACAGATAGCATGAGAGAGAGGAGGGTCAGAGGGAGAAGCAGACTCCCCGCCGAGCAGGGAGCCCGATGTGGGACTCAATCCAGGGACTCCAGGATCTTGACCTGAGCCGAAGGCAGTCGCTTAACCAACTGAGCCACCCAGGCGCCGCCCCCCCCCCCCTTTTTTTAAGATTTTATTTATTTATTTGACAGAGAGAGAGAGCACAAGCTGGGGGAGCAGCAGAGGGAGAGGGAGAAGCAGGCTTCCCGTGGAGCAGGGAGCCCGATGTGGGACTCCATCCCAGGACCCTGGGATCATGACCTGAGCCAAAGGCAGACACTTAACCAACTGAGCCACCCAGGCGCCCCTCATGACTAAGGTTTTATCAGACCGTAATAAATGACCTTTTCCCAACAACAGCTAGCCCCCTCAAGGTCCTGGAAACCTTGCTTCCAAAATTCCATAGAGATATACACTCTCCTGAATCCCCTCCCACCTTGAAAGTATATAATGGGCCACTCCTCATGACCCCAGTGCACCAATTTCTGCCCACGGGTCCTGTCCTGGTGCTTTCATAAAGCCACCTTTTTGCACCAAAGATGTCTCAAAAATGCCTTCTTGGCCGTAGGCTTCCAACGCTAACGTCTTTCCTGCATCATCACGTGGCCCACTGCCCCTGCATTTCCGAGGCTCGAGGTCTGTGCATCCTGGAATTCTGTTCCACCGCCCCCTCTACTGGAGGGCGGATGACCGACTCACCCACCATTCCTTCCACTGTGGACTAGCCTCGCTCAGGCACACAGTTCGTCTTGAAGACACAGAAGCCCGGGAGCGGCAGAGACTGGTGGCTACATTCGGAGAACAATGGAGCTGCCACAGCCTTTGTGTTTTCATTTCCCTGCTGCTTTTCCTCTGAGCGCAGCATGTTCTCAGACCTCATTCTGTGCAATTACCCTATAAGGCGAAGGCAAGGAGTCAGGGCAAGCCCCACGGAGGTCAAAAGGGCCCAGATCTCCTGGCATGCTGCTTTCCTTGCCCTGGGCTGCTGGCTTGCCATAAGGCCTGCTAATAGACCATTTGGTAGCCTTTTTAGAGCGGTTTGCGGAAAATCAAGAGACTTTACTTGCAGCTAAGAAAAGAAAATATGATCAACTTTCACTTCCGGTTTTTATATTCTGGGTTGCTAGCTGGCAACCTTTTCCGGCTCCGGGACACCTGAGAAATAGCACAACTACAACAGGGGTTATGTGCTCTGTAATCCTTTTTACCCAGATTCTGAATCAGAACTAGCCTCTTGCCCAGCTGTGCACCCCAAGCCCTCTCCAGGGGGTACGACAGACAGACGGCTCAGGCGCGGGACAGGCAAGCGTAGTTTGGAAAAGTTGCCTCTCTAGGTCTGCGGTTGTCAGAGCGGCGTCCTTCGCTCCGCAGAAATACGAATCCTCAGCCCCACCCCAGGCCCGCGCTTCAGAAACCCCGGGGGCTGCGCCCAGGGAGCCCTCCAGGTGAGTGTGAGTGCGGGCCTGGCTCCAGGCAAGTCTCTGACTTCCATCTGTCCCCCCACGAAGAGTCAGGGTTCCAGAAGAGCGCCTCTCAGCCTCACCTGGGAGCTTGCACAAACTAGGGAGGCCCTAGCTCCAACCCCTAGAGGCTCTGATTGGACTCATCCGCCAGGGGGCGCAATCACAGCTCTTCACGTGGTTCTAACGGACTGCCGGGTTCAAGAACCACTGGTGGTGGTGTTCTCTTTGCAGACTTCGCAGCCTCACGAGGAACCACCTGTTTCTTCCCCACCGCCTCTTCCCAGCACAGAAGGAAATAAACTGGTCCAGCTGGTATTACTGCTTGTAATGCACCAGCCAGGGAGACAACAGGATATAAGACAGAACCCTGCCAAAGGCGGGAGCTTGGACTCTAACTCTCCACCCCTAGTACTGGGTTAGGGGCTTCGGCAAAATGAATTCCTCTGATGTTCTACGCTTCAGCTGCCTCACCCCCAAACAGAAATTGCGTTAATAATTCCTTCCTTTCTTCAGGTCAGATAAGCCAGCTGAAGTCTTTCCTAGCAGAAAAGTACATTTCAGATTCTAAGGGCTTTTAAAAGGTCAGAACTGGTCTTTGGCTTAGAATTGCTAATATTGATTTGACTCTCTCTAGGATGGGCAAGAATATTGTGAGCTGGTCAATTTTGTGTTTTTCCAGGGTTGACAAATATGAGTGGAGCCCAAAAGAAGTTGGGACTCAGGCAAAGAGATGCCCCAAAGGAAGCCGCTACAGTGGTTTGTATTCTTATTCTGCCCTAAGAGATTCCACTAGGCACTCACCAGTCTATCTGGAGAACAGGCTGCTTTCACGTTCAACCCCGCTCCCCCATATTCACGGGCATCTATCTGAGTCCTTTTGCTTTTAGCCAGCTACCCGCCTTTCTTCCTAACTCCTCCTTTTAGCTTTTTTTTTTTTTTTTTTTTTTTTTTTCCTGGCTCTGCAAAAAATGTACAACAATCAGCCTGGGATTAATCTCCGAGGAGCTCGTCTGTGTGAAAAACAAGTAGAATGGGTCAGGATGGAGAAAGGGAATAGAGGGAATAGGTCAGGTGTTTCCTTAGCCAGACACTTAATTAAAATATTTATACTTATTATTTCCTTAGCCAGACACTTAATTAAAATATTTTATTTATTTATTTATTTATTTATTTATTTATTTATTTATTTATTTATTTATTTATTTATTTAGAATGGTCACTCTCTTCTTCCCAGAAAACAAAATAGTTTGGTATTCCACCCCCCCCACCACACTGTGCCTTCTAAACACTTAATAAGATTAGAAGACTGTGGGAAGACAGTAAATTGTTTCCAAGTGACATTGTATCAATAATACTGTGTAAATAGTCCAGTAAACCTGCAATGTCTAGGAATTCCTTCAAAAAGAAAAACTGAAAATGGAAGGAACTGGGAACTTCCCAGCTGGGGCCTGGGTCACCACAGGCACAGCACAGATCTGGATACTGGGCAAACACTGGTGTCCCACCTTCAGTTCAGATGCCCACTGCTCACCCCTTTTCTGTAATAGAGAACATCCCTCTCCCAGAGGAGATGCACAGGAAAGGGACCTCCCACAGCCAGTGAGCTGCGAAGCTGCAGAAACCCCAGCCCTTTCTCAGCTTGAATTGGAGAGATTCAGGGCAGCTGCCTACAAATGAGAGCTGGGCTTTTTCTTTGGTGTTGGGATCTAGACAGGTGCCTTTTATTCTCTTTCTCGTTTTCTCCCCTTGCTGCTGCTGGGACTAGCCCTCCGGAGGCCCGGTCTTCAGTCCCATCGTGCCACCTAGAAATTCTCAGGGACACAGGTAAGCATTTAGGTGTGCAGACCACACACACTAATTCTTGGACTGCCTCCTGCCTTTATGACTGAAGGGATTTTTGTGTGCTGTTCAAGTGTTCGGTTGGGTCTTTGAACCAATCTTGCTTCTAATTGGGAGGATGACTAACTTCTATTATTAAACCCTAATGAGACAGAGTAGCCTCCAAGACAACTTCGACCTTTTGGTTTTATAATATGTGCGTCATAAGACAGCTTTGCGAGGTTACTTAGGCAACAAGCTCGTTGTACAATTCCACTATGCATAGAACTTGCCTTCCAGTGAAATAAACTGGTCCAGCTGGTATGATTGGAGGGTCCTGGGACTGCTTGAGGCCCAAATTCCTCTCTTCCGTCCTGTTGTTTATACCTGAAACTTTCCCCTACTGGTGGTTAGTGATGTATCCGTGCGAAAGTACAAATACCCCTCAAGAAAGCAGCTTATTGATTTTGCCTGAACCATACTTGATTGACCAGATCCTTTTCAATATGGCACCCGTTTAAAAAGGAGTGGGTTGGGGCGCCTGGGTGGCTCAGTCGTTAAGCATCTGCCTTCGGCTCAGGTCATGATCCCAGGGTCCTGGGATCCAGCTCCGCATCAGACTCCCTGCTCCGTGGGAAGCCTGCTTCTCCCTCTCCCACTCCCCCTGCTTGTGTTCCCTCTCTCGCTGTGTCTCTCTGTCAAATAAATAAATAAAATCTTTAAAAAAAAAAAAAAAGGAGTGGGTTTAGGGAGGGCAGAGAGGTGGGCATGGTTGCTCTGTGTTCCCGCCACCCCCGCCACCGCTTTCTTACAAAGTTTTGGGGGCGCTTGCCTCGCACTGATTGGCCTATGTGGGAGGGACTGAGGGAAGACAATCTCAGAGGGTAGGGGCAGGAGGGCCCTGCCGGCTGCTGATTGGTGGCTGAGGGACTCCAGACAGCTGCTAAAACACCAGCAGGTGGCGCACTGAGGGCTGCTAGGGTGGAAGCAGGACTTGTATAGAAGTGGGCGTGGCCCCGCAGGGAGGCGTGGCCCCGCAGGGAGGCGTGGCCCCGCAGGGAGGCGTGGCCCCGCGGGCGGTGCATAGGTGCAGAGGGTAGCTCTCTTTATAGTGATTGGCTAGATGAATTTAGAAGGAAGCAGAGGAAGCCGGGCAAGAGCTTTGTCTGTGGGTATTTGGCAGAAAGGTAGAGCTCTGTTCAGCCAGGGAAGCGTGGCAAGTGCGAGAGTTCCTTCATTTAATCCTTAACAACCGTCCTCGCTATTGTTATCCCTCTTGCATATCCCACGCTCATAAGCAACTTTGCCAAGGGTGACGCAGACAGCAAATGACAGATGTAGTAGCCAAACCAATATCTGTACAGAGGGCAGATTACACTGTGAAATGCCAGCGATGTCTGACGCACTCCTACCTTTATCTTATACCTTCCCTCATCTAATCAGTGTTAAGAATCTCCCATTGATCTGGCACTGGGCCCGACACACACAACTCCATGCAGCATTTGAAAGACCACAATCAAGGAGAAAGCGTTCCAGTGATCGAAAGCAAAGAGGGCCTCTTGCAATCTGTAGCTGGCAAAATGTGGCTCTGTATTGTTTGATAAAAATAATCAGATCCCCGGGCGCCTGGGTGGGCGTCTGTCTTCGGCTCAGGTCATGATCTCAGGGTCCTGGGATCCAGCCCAATGTTGGGCTCCCTGCTCAGTGGGGAGCCTGCTTCTCCCTCTCTCTCTGCAGCTCCCCCTACTTCTGCTCTCTCTCTCTCTCTCTCTGTCAAATAAATAAAATCTTAAAAAAAAAAAAAATCAGATCCCTCTGGCTTCCCATTGGACTTGCTTGATAAACCAATAGAACATTACTTTGAGCCCCGATCTGCAATGCAATTTATTTTATAAAAAAGATAATGGTAAGGTGTACTAGCGTGTCAATTTCTGGAAATGTCCTAAATCCTAAGTTAGCTTTCCTTTATGGCTACCTATCACCCACCTGTTTAAAATTAGACTTTAATTCTTCAGATTGTGTTGAAATCCTACTCCAATCCCATGCAGAAAAGTTCTCACGTACACCCTTCCCCTTCCCTGCATCACACCTGCTGTCTTAGACCCTACGTACAGAAGTGAGCTTCCAAACACCTAGGCTACATGACAGCTGGACTTCATTCTTGTTCCGGCTCGGGCCAGTTGGACTTCATTCTTGTTCCGGCTGGGGCCAGTTGTATAGGCTGGTCCCCAGTATGACCCCCGGCAAAGAAAAAGAGCTTAATAAATGTCTGTGGGAAGAGGGAGAAAAGGTAAACTTACATTGAGTAAGCTGCCTTTAGGGTTCTCCTGGGAACCACACATCAGGAGAATCCAATCTGGGAGAGTGTGAGGACATAGAGGAGGGGTGTGTTGAGAGAGTCCTTTGAGAGACCAGAGTTGAGTTGCCTCTGATTTGAAATTTAGGGAAACTGGGTGAAGTGTAAGAGCTGAGAGATTAGATGGCATTTCAGGCATTTTGGAGGTGGGGTGATGGCAAAATGGCTTGGATCAGGGTGGAATACCTAAGAGAGGAAAGGCTTCACGGAGACGGAGAGAGGACTAGGTTCAGAATCACCTAACAGGATGCCGTGGCTAAAAGCATTCAGGATTGGGGGAAGGGGGTAGACCTTGCCAAGCCTATTTTTCTTAGCTGACAAAGAGCTCCATCCAGTCCCCTCTCTGCAGCTGTACTTTCTTACAGATGTGAAGGTGGCACCTTTGTGTATGTTCACATCTCTGTTCTAATTGATTTTTTTTTTAAGATTTATTTTAGAGAGAGAAGGGGGGAAAGAACAGAAGGAGAATGAGAGAGAGAATCTCAAGCAGACTCCCTGTTGAGCGAGAAGACTGATGTGGACCTTGATCTCAGGACCCTGAGACCATGACCTGAGTCGAGATCAAGAGTCTATGGCTTAACTAACTGAGCCACCTAGGCACCCCCTAACTGGTCTTATGGCAATTCAAAGCAGTGGTCTTGAGGGCATATTTTTCTGGAAGTCTGTATTCATTTGAATATGTTTGGTTGCATAGAACAGAGTCTAAAACAACAGAGGCTTAACCAAGATAAGCGTATTTTTCTCTCTCATAACAGCTAAAGCTGGAGTGGTGGGTGTTCTCTGCTAAGTTGTCAGGGCTCTGGCTTCTTTATCTGGTTGCTCTGTCTTTCCTAGGAAATTGATTTTGTCTGGATGGTTCTAGATGGGTCACCCCTGTGTCTGCATTCCAGCCAGCAGGAAAAAGGAAATAGGGAACATATCCCTTCTCTTTAAGGACATGATCCAAAGTTTCACACTTACTGTCCCTGTCACCTCCTTTGGCCCAGGACTTAGTCTCATGGCCACACCTACCTGCGGGCAAGGCTGAGAAATTCAGTCTTGTTTCTGATGGCCCTATGACATCCCTACAGGAGGTTTCTCCACGCTGACCCACCTAGAACTAACTTCCAAGTTCTCATCTGCTGCTACACTTGACTTTTGATTTAGGTCACTTTCTAAAGACCCAACTTCAACTCTCCTTATCTGGAAATGGACATATCCTCCTTTCCTTAATCCAAATAAGACAATTTAAAAAAGGAAAGTGAGGGGAAAGGAACATTAAAAACATTGACTAATATTATATATGCTCACAATTTATTTATGTGTATCAGCTACTCTTCCAAATACTCTATTTAGTTTAACTCATTTGATCCTCACGACACCTTTATAGGTATAAGTACAATAATTATCAAGATCGCTCTTTATAGGTAAAACAGAAATTAAGTTGCTTGTCCAGGGTGATTGCACAGGTTGTCCAGAATGAGGTGTGTCTGCCACATACATGTAGGGAAGACGTTAAAACATCAAATTTATTGGAGCCAAACACAGGGTTCATACAATCCCTTGCTTGAATTTTTTTTTTTTTAATTCATTTGAGACACAGAGATAGAGAGAGAGAGAGAGCATGAGCAGGGGGAGAAGCAGAGGGAGAGGGAGGCTTCCCACTGAGCAGGGAGCCCGATGCGGGGCTCGATCCCAGGACCCTGGGATCATGACCTGAGCCAAAGGCAGACGCTTAACCATCTGAGCCACCCAGGCGCCCCCACTTGCTTGAATTTATGCAATGGCTCTTAACAGGTATCCCTGTTTCTACCCATATGCGCCTCTGAAGTCTATTCTCAACATAGTAGCAAATGTGTATGTGTTTTTAAGATTTCATTTATTTGAGCGAGCGAGCGAGAGAGACACACACACACACGTGAGTACGAGTGGGGGAGGGGCAGAGGGAGAAGCAGACTCCCCACTGAGCGGGGAGCCCAAATCCGAATCCAGGGCTCGATCCTGGGACTCTGGGATCATGATCTGAGCCAAAGGCAGACGCTTAACCGACTGAGCCACCCAGGCACTCCTGTTGTTGTTGTTGTTGTTGTTTTTAATAAAATATGAGTCAGATCAGGTCACTCCTCTGCTGACAGCTCCCCACTTCACTCAAAGACCCAAGTTCTCTGTCACCAGTATGATCCAACCACCTCCCCATTAACCTCTCTGACTACTGCTACCTCCCTGCCCCTCAGTCCCAGGGTGAATACATTCTCCTCTGACCCTCCTACACCACCTCGTGTATGCGTTAAAGCATCCCATATCTGTGTGATTTTCTGGGTTCATTTGTGTCTCTTTCAGGAGACGGTACGCTCCTTGAGGGTAGGGACATGTGTTCCTAGTGCTTGGCGCATAGTGGTGATTCCAAGTGTTTGCTAAAGAAGAATGAATGCTTGCAACACCCCCAGACCCCACCTAACTCTTCTTTCAAATCCCGCTCTCTGGATGGGTCTGATAAACTCAACATACCCAGATACAAATGATTAATATGGTTGCATGTATTGATCCTTCCAGGGCTCCTGGCTTTCTAATAATAGGCAGAATCTTAAGTCAAAGAATGGCATTTAAATGCAGAGCAGGGGTGGCGCCTGGGTGGCTCAGTCGTTAAGCGTCTGCCTTCAGCTCAGGTTAT